AACAACAACAGTAGCAGCAGCAGCAGCAGCAGCAACAGCTTATAATGGGACTTGAACATCCACAGATATTTTGGTATCTATGGGGGGATCCTGGAACCAAGCCCCAGCAGGTACCAAGGACCCATTGTATTGTATATGGCACTTTATACGTGAATATAAGATAAATGTTACTTTCACTATGTGAAAGTTGTACAAAATACCCAACACCAATTACAGACATTAACATGTACAACAACTTGTGTACCATGTCGATACACTACTTTATGCTAAAACACAATTATATTTTCCTGTTTTCATGGTCTCTCACACTTCTCTGGACATTATGGTCTCCTTTTCATAGCCTTTTGTTTTACTTTCCTGACCTCAGGATAGGGAAGTGGGACTAGCTTCCTCTCCCTGCAAACCTTATGAGAAGAAAGTTTTTCCTCTTCTGTGTGTTGTTTGCAGCCGTGCCATTGTTGAAGAAAGCAGGTTCCCTGCCTACAACCCCCACCCACCCCCAACAATAGAGCCTAGCACTGCAAATCACAACAGACTCCAGTCAAACTCTGAAATCACAAATTAAAGTCTTTCTCTGGAAACACAATAAGGCCTCTATTATGTGGTATGCAAGTGAGGGAAAAAATTGCTATTGCATTTTAACCCCCAACCTTCTTTCTTCATGAGCAAGTTTTCATTACTCCTCTTATCTAGTTTTATAATTGTTGAAGTTCACACTAGCAATTTGCCCTTCTCTTCTGAAGGTGCTACAATTTGAGAAGGTTCACAGTAATCCCAACAGCAGCATAGTGTTACACACCAATTACTTCACAATCCAGCAGTCATTCTGAGCACAAGAAAATGAGCATTAATAACAAATTACAGATAGTTCAGAGAGAAAGTGTGTTACTTTCAATGGAAGAAGCCATTTGGCCATCCCATTGCAATTACAGGACAGGTCAATCCAGTTGTAATAACTATTATGTATGTACCAATTTAACCACTCGTCAAAAGCAGATGAGTAACATGGAAAATGTTGAAGAAGACCCACCATTTAGAGGACATGTTTTCTACCAAGTGAGGGTTGATGCATAATGCCTTGCCTTTGTTGTTGTTGTGCACCTTCAAGATGTTTCCAACTTATGGCAACCCTAAGGAAAACCAATTGCAGGGCCTTCTTGGCAAGATATGTTAAGAAGGGGTTTTGCTATTGTCTTTCTTTGGCGCTGAGAGAGTGTGACCTGCCCAAGGTCCCTCATGTCTTCAGCAAAAATGATTTTCACTAAAGAGAACAGGCAAGTAAGCTTTTGCAAACAGGGGACAGGAAAAAAATCTTATTTTTGAATTTCAGGGTGCCATTTTATTTTAAGTACATGTGAGTGAGCTGTTTGGTAAAAGGGATGTTGTGCACTAGATAATTCTGGGAATTTGCTTTCAAGATTGAGACAACAGATTCTCTTGCATAATTTCAAAACATCCTAATTGTTCTCTGTCTATTCTGCACGAGATTTTATTGCTCAGCTGATCTGCTGCTAAAAACTGGGAGAATCGTCGTCAGCTTTGCTGCTGATGGCTGAATTAGGCACCTTGGCTATGGAACTGGTGCATCTGTCAATTGCGCTGTGCTGCTCATTTGTTGAGAAAAAAACATGAGCAGAGGATGATCAGTTCTAGGATCATCAATAAAATCCAAATTACCATTGGTTCATATTAGCAATTTCATGATCTGTCATCTCCACAGTTATAAAATTGCCACGAATATGCAGAAGAAACTAATAAAAAGGTGGTATTTCTACCAACACATTTTATAAGCATTACATTTACTTTTTTAAAAAATAAAATCTACACGCAGCAATCATCTACCAGAAAAAAATAGAAAAGACCTATTTTCTTCCCCTCACTGAAGGGTGAGTATTTTGTACTCTCTCCTAAGAAAGATCAGAAGACTACATATGGGTTTTGTAATAATTATTGATCATGCTTTGGGTTATTTAAGAGTTAATGTTTAAATTAAGTTCTCATGACCTGAAATCAAAAGTCTTGCTCTAATAATGCATGCATTCTGAAAATCTGGAACCCCTCAAAGTATCCTGGTGTCCTAACACAACCACTAAACCAAATCAAATGGATCTTGGACATGAATATCAACAGTCTCTTTATAAGGAATTGTAGAATTTACAACTACCGTAAATAGTTTACCAAAAAAAAAATCTATATGTTTCACAGCATATCTGCAACTAGATTTTTGAATATCGCTTTTTTTTCTTATTCAATTGGGTCCTGGGGTTTAATTCTACCTGCTTGTGTTAGTCCCAGTTCATGACTCTTTTTCCTTCTCCAGCCTACAATGGCTTTTAATGAGATAAAAAGATGTCACAACATCTAAACCCAGATCTCCTGCGTCACATGGAGTTTTGCTCAGGATCCCTCAGGGCCAGGGAAGTATCTAATTTCACACAGGATGGGTGGAAAAACGCAGTGTGATTTTTCCAAGATGCTATCACTATATTATTTTAAAACTAAGTTTGAAATGATGTTGGGAAATGTGTGGCTCTCCATGCTGCTGAACTGCAACTCCCATCAGGCCTAGCTAGCATCCCAAAGGGGAGTGATGTTAGGATTGCAGTTTACTGACTTCTGGTGGCCCAAATATTTCCCATCCCTGATGGCTGGTACCAAGTGGATGCCTACAAGAAGCCCACAACACTATCTTTCAGCTCATGTTCCTAGCAACTTGAATTGACAGGCATACTATCTGCAATTCTGCAGCCATTTACAAAATTATCCTCTTTAACTTTTGTTTAACCATCTTTCATAGACATTAAAGTTGGCTTTCACATCTCTGTTTACTGGAATCTACCTAAAATTTCAGCTTGACATCTCATTGACTAAATATTGTTGCCAAGTAGTCATGCATCACAGTTTAAATAAAATGACACATCAACAAAATGAACACTGAGATTAAAAGAAAAAAAGTGCTGGCAAACCTATAGAGAGCCCAACGTGGTAAGAAATCACAATAGCAGGTAGAAACTAAATGCATGTAAACATAAAAAACTGACGCTCTATATAACAAGGAAGAGCTCATGTGTGGTTTTCAAAAAGACACCAGAGAAGTAATTGAAGCATAATGCTTCAGTTTTCTATGGAAACAAAACCTTGGAGAGAGGAAACAATCCACAGAGATCTGCAGAGTAAAGGATTTTTTTCTGGGGGGGAGGTAGGGAGGAGAGAGATGCATGTAGATTTTCAATCAGCTTAACTGCAGCACAGAGAAAAATAGGGAACTCAGCCTATGGTTTCAAGTGCAGACAGCTTTTCAGGGAATCTTATTTGGTGGGAGGGAGGATGGAGAAGGATGGGGGAAAGCCTGAAACACAAAGAACAAAATAGGGGACCTAAACATTGTTGTAATTGGAGACTGAAGAAGTTGTGATTTGAGTCTAGGTGTGTGAGTGCTTGAGACAGAAAAGATGACAAAATTGGGGCAACTGAGGGCATGATGGAGATAGAAAAATACAAAGAAGGGTGGTAGTTGGGAATGAATGAATGAATCCAAAAGCTCCTTAAGGAAGGAGCACTTGAAACAGGGTTATGACAAAAGGAAGGAGAATGAGGAAACAGAGTTCAAACTGTAATATATTGAGTAGTTAGGTGTGTATGTGTTCAACAAAGAAAAAAAAATTCAGGTGGGAGCAAAAAAAAAAAAAGAGAATAAAAATGAGTAAGAGTTGGGCAAAAAAGAGGATGAATTTAACTGGAGCAAGTTGGGAAAGATTATTGATGGGGGGGTTAAAGGACGTTGCTGCATGTCTGTGTCTATGTATAAATTCAAAATTGTTAAAAAATATCTAAGATAATTCAAGAGTAAAATAGAGGGAGGAGGAGAGAACAGAGGCAAAAGCAACAGGATTATAAGGAAGATGCTGGTGTCCATATCCAGGACTAGTGAAATATATAAGGAAAAAATAGGAGGTGGAAGCAAAAAGAAGGAAAGATGAATGTTACACACATACCGTAAATATAAAAGAAAACAGTTTAGTTCTAGGAAGAAGCAGCACTCCATGCAGGGCAGAAGACAAAATTGGCAGGAGAGGATGAATGAACAGAGAAAAAAGACCCCCAAATAAATATTGATAAAAGAAACTGAATTTTAAAAAAAGGGGGAGTCTGGTCCTGGAAAGGGGCAGGACTTGATATAGGAAAGATTATAAAAAGGGGAGAGAAACAATGGAAAGAGGACACAAAAGCAAAGATAAGTAAGAAGAAGAAAAAGTGACTACAGGTTGAGTCTCCTTTATCTAGAATTCTGAAATATTCCAAAATCCAAAACTATCCAAACGGGTGGTTGAAGGAGTAACACCTTTGCTTTCTGATGGTTCAAGTATACATTAACATTGCTTCATACCCAAAATTATTTTAAAATACTGTGTATTCAGGCTCTGCATATAAGGTATATATGAAAGATAAACAAATTACATGTTTAGACTTGGGTCCCATCTCCAAGAGATCTCATTATGTATATCTATGCAAATATTCCCCACTCCGAAATCCAAAACACTTCCGGTTCCAAGCATTTCGGATAAGGCAGACTCAGAGGTGAGAAATGGGTCTTAACAGGGGCAGCACTTGACAGGGGCTATTATTGTTGTGTGCCTTCAAGTCATTTTCAACTTATGGTGACCCTAAAGTGAACAGACAGCATGGTGTAGTGGTTTGTGTTGAACTCTGGAGATAAATTAGGTTCTCTCTCAGCCTCAGAAAAAGCCACTCTGAAAAAACTTGCCAAGAAAACTCTGTGATAGGTTTGTCTTATCTATGCTAGGTTTGTCTTACAGTGAAGGCACACAACACATACACATGGTGACCCTATCACACAGTCAAGATGGGGTTTGGCCTTGCCTGGGCTGAGAGAATGTGACTTGCCCAAAGCAAACCAGTGGGTTTCAGACTCATAAGGCAGGTTTTTCTACGGCTGAGAATGTATGTGACTTGCCTAAGGTCATCCAGTGAGTTTCCATGGCCAAAATGGGATTCGAACCCTGGTCTCCAGCATTGTAGTTCAGCGCTCAAACCACTACACCACACTGGCTCCATACTTGACAGGGACAGTTGATAAAATCTGGTGTGTGTGGGGCAGAAAAAAGGCATGGAACCATAAGTGTTATTTTTGAAAAAAGGAATATACAAGAAGGGATCTGGATGAGGAGGGAAGGAGGAATAAACTTTCCATAAAGGAGAATTGTGGAGTGTGGAGGAAGGGACCCCATTTTATCCTCAATTGATCCCCAATTCAGGGAGAGAAAGGGACTCCAATTTATGAGAAAAGGGACCTTATTTTATCTCCAATTGGAGAGCCCCCAATTTATCCATAATTAAGGGAGGGGAAAGGACCCCAATTTATCCCCATTTAAGGGGAGAAGGGGACCCCAATTTATCCCCAACTGAGAGAAAAAGGGACTCCAACCTACCCCAAGTGGGGGGCAAAGGGGAACCTAGTTTATTCCCAACTGAGGGGGAAAGTGACCCCAATTTAAGGGGGAAAATGACCTTATTTTATCCCCAATGGAGGGGGGGAAAGAGACCCCAATTTATCCCCAATTGAAGGAAGGGACCCCGATTTAAGGGGGAAGGAACCTTAATTTATCCCCAATTGGGCGGGGAAGAGACCCCAATTTATTCCCAATGGGGAGCAGGGAAAGGGACTCCTATTTATCTCCAACTGAGAGGGGGAAAGAGACCCCAATTTATCCCCAATGAGGCGTCTGAGGGGCCGTGACGTGCCCTTGGGGGGCAGTTGGGAGAGAAGGACGTGACAGGAAACTGTTCCGGCCCCCAAACCGCCTCCACTCCCTTCCCTCCGCCTCCTCTCACCCATCTGCTCCCGGAGCCCCTTGAGGGACGGCGGGGCTCCGCTGCCCTCCGCCATCTTCCGCCGCCCGAGGTCCCCTCCTGCCGCCGCCTCAGCCCAACACACCCAGCGCGGGCGGAGAACCGCCAAGCGGGGCTGAGGGAGCGAGGCCGACTGCGCATGCCCGGAATAAACCAAGCCTCGCCCTCTTGCCCGCTTCCCCCTCAATCTTCCTCCTTAGTGGACCCGCCCACCGGCGCGCCACGTACACGCATGCGCAGTATCACCACTCCACCCTCCGTTGTCATCAAGGCGTCACTCAGCGACCGGCTGAAGCGCAAGGCGCATGCGTGGGGGTTGAGCCACTGACAGAGACGCAGACATACACACGCGCGCGCGCTTGGCTCCTCCCCCTTGCTTCAGCTCTTTCCACCCTCCGCCCAGGTCAGGATCGCTCTGGCTAGTGCGCATGCGTGCCGCTTTCCTTTTTTTTCCCCTTGCCTACTATAAGCCTCACGGCAGCTTCTCCTTTGCGCGCCATTTTTGAAAAAAAGGGGTCCCGAGTTCGAATCCCGTTTTCCCCAAATTCTGAGTAATTTTTATTTCTAATTACTTATTTCTAATTTTAATATTTTTTAAATTTTTATTTATGTAATATATTTATTTATTTAATAATGTTATTTATTTATTTAATAAAATTTAATAAAATTTTAATAAAATTACTAATTTCCTCAGTAATTAGCCCTCATTTTTAATAATAATAATAATAAATCCATAATCTTGATTGAAACTAAGTCTCATGTCCATATTTGCAGTGGTTTGAGAGGCATTGATTTTTTTTTTTTACACAAAATTAGAAACAAAAATATAATTTATTTACATTTCTTGTCAATGGTTTGACCATGGTTATTAATAATATTTATTATTGTTCTTATGGAAACCACCTGGGGCCCCAGCCTGAGAGAAAGGCAGCATATAAATTAAATAAACAAACAAACAAATAAAATGTGATTAGATTCCTTTTCTAGAAAATAATTAAGGCACCTTGTTTTAAAACAAACCATACAAGAGTTGAAAAGGTCCCACTTAAAGCAATATATTTGTCATTAACAAAACTACCTCCCTTAAAGAATAACACTTGAAAAAGTTAATTTTTTTGTAATATTTTAAAAATGCATTTTTTCTGTCCTTTGGGAGTTAGATTCATGTATAAACCAATTATAAAAGGGATTATGTCAACCAGACCCAACATTTAGGCATTCAGTCTGCTGGAAATAAGGATTTACAAAAAGAATGAAATGGTGAAAATGGTAATGAGTAAAGAAAAAGAAGAAGAAGAAATTTTAGTAAAGTTATTTTTTGAGTTAATCATGAAGGAAGGAAGAAATATTTAGTTAACAAAGTGGAAAGAAATAGCCAAATTATACCAAAGCTGGGCGTAAAGAAAAATACCACCCTAGATAAGCGGGATATATAAATAAATATTATTATTATTATTATTATTATTATAAGAAAACTGTATTAAACAATTGAGAATGGTATGCAGGAGATTTGTAGTGTTAAGGGTAAGTATGTATGGTAGTATGATATATGCAATGTATGGTTTTATCAAAGGTTTTATTGGATGTGATAAGGTTTAATTGTGTTATAATAAAAAATTGAAATTAAAAAAAATCTTCTTTCTTCCTCTCAGGCGGCAGCTGAAGGATGTGAATCCAGCAAAAAAAGGCCATTTGGACTGTGGATCTCCTGTCTTTGCTCCTCCAAAAGATGCCCCATCGCTACAAGGCTCCAGTGTTTCGTTTTGTTTGCTCTCTTAAAAGAGGAATCTTTGTTAGCCTGGGCCACTGAATTATTCCGACTTCTGTTGGCAAACAGATCCCTGTCTGTCTGGATTCCAAGGTGCCGTATGCGAATGTCACGACTTCGAATATTAACACTGCAGCATTCAATCCTTGCTTCGGTCTAAGTTTCCATCATTCCAGGAATGCATCTATGTGAGATTTCCAGCTCCAGAGATTGCTTCTCGCCTAACGTCTTCCTCTCTGGCCGCATCCGCACTGCAAGAATTAATGCACTTTGGCACCGCTTTAACTGCCATGGCTCAATGCTATGAAATCCTGGGATATGTAGTTTGTTGTTGCACCAAAGTTTTCTAGCAGAGGCCCAATCCACACTGCAGAAATCATGCAGTTTAACACTGCTTTAACTGCTATGGCTCAACGCTATGGATTCCTGGGATTTGTAGTTTGTTGTTGCACCAAAGCTCTCTAACAGAGGTCCAATCCACACTGCAGAAATAGTCAATTGCACTGAATTCATCAGGGGAAGAGGACTGGAACTTTGTCCTTCCCTGCAGGCTCAGGCAAAAGCAAACTGCTGAAGCATCTCCTCGCTTGTGTGTTCCAGCTCTATTATAACTTTTGCCATCTTGACCACTCTCAATGTTGCTTGGGTATATATATGTGCCAATTTTCATCTATGAAGTATTGGTGGGCATGCCATGTCCAGCTGAGGCTTGTTCCTTTGCTGCTCAGTAATCCATCTTGAATAAGCCATATATCTGAAAATAAGGGGAGAATATTAGTTCATGGAAGGGAAATTTTTTTGGCCAGAGTACTGCATTCTGCTTCTTATGCTGTATCTGGACTGTAGAATTAATGCACTTATTCTAGGGTTTCCATAAATCAGAAATGACTTGAAGACACCGAACAGCAACAGCAGCCCTTTGTTGGTGTGTGCCTCGGGCAGCAGGATATCTTGGGTTGGCTCTGCTAGGCATGTTTTAACAAGAATTGTTCCTATAGAGCAATTCCTTTAGTCCAGCAATTCTTTCGAAATTACTAGCTGTGATATCTCCAGGATGATCCAGCTTGGAAGGACGCAAAATTTATTGCAATTTTAGCAGAACCGTAAAGGCATGGACTGCAAGCCAAAGGTGTGAGTTATTATAGCTGGTTAAAAAGGTACATATTTCGAGACCAAAATTGCACACCGAAATGTCAGTATTCTGGTGCCATCTGTTGGGATAACAGCAATACTGCTCTCATATTTGCAAGACACTTAAGACCAGCAAGAAGATATTTTTAAAAACTTGATAATACCCTGAAAGAATATGGTTAAAGCATGCAATGTTTGCATTCTTTTTAAATACTATATATCTTGGCATAAAACTGCAGAGAATCAGGAATGGACAGTTCCCACCCGACTAGGCATTCGTTATAGGAAATGATGCGGTTGGGGTTGTCCTTGCTGCAGAAATAACCCAGTTTGACACCAGTTTAACCGCCCTGGGCTCAATGCTATGGAATTCTGGGAACTATAGTTTTGTGACATGTTTAGCCTGCTTTCTCAGAGAGCTTTGGCGCCACAGCAAACGACAATTCCCCAAATTCCACAGCATGCCAGTTAAAAGTGTTGCCAAGCTGGATTATTTCTGCAAGAAAACTGATGATGGAGTTGCCCTAAATCAGAAAAGACTTGAAGGCACGCAACAACAACAACAACACACAGCACCAACTGGGTGACCCTGATTGAGTCACACTCTCTCAGCCTCAGAGGATGGTAATGGTGAACCCACCCACCCCTGAATAAACCTTGCCGAGATCCCTGCAGTCTGCCCTCCTACCATGGTCTATGTTTATCAAATCATATCTTATAATAATAATAATAATAATAATATAGTTTATTTATATACCGCCCTA